GAGCACTCCAGGTTCAAGTGTCCTTAGGAGTGTCTTTCGTTATATGACTTCCGCGTTGCGTCTCTTAAAACTTAGAGCCCATATTAGGATTCGTTGTACTTTATTTACGGTTTGTTAGGAGGAGTTGATGTCAATTATATTCTGTAGTCATAGAATGGTTGGCACTAGAAAAATGATGGGTTCAAGGCGAAAGCAATAAAGACCCAAAGGAGTAGAGGAGTATGTTATTGATTTCGTTGCCAGAAGGCAGAGTTAAGGATTGACGGTTTAGGTTCGTTTGGCGTTACTTTAAAAGTATAAGCCAATGAAGGATTTAGGTGTACGTGATAGGTCACCGCATATCGGGACCAACACGACTTCAGTTGATCTCAAAAATGAGACAAGCAAGGAGTAGGAGCCGAAGAGGATCCTAATGGAGGAGATTTATGTGTATCCAATAGAGAGGGTACTAAATCTTGAAGAGGGATGATTGCGCGAGGTGATCTAAATTGCTAGTAGTATAGCGAATGTTATTAGTAGAATTGGGGTTGATCAATCTACAAATAATTAAATCTTTCTTATCATCTCTAAAAGAGGTATATAAGAAGTATTGTTCAGGAGTTTGGGGATCGGATGTGTTCTTATCAGAACGAAATACATAATTTTTAAATCACATACAAAAAGGCATTGGTATTATGTTGTGACGTTCTAATTCGATTTATAAAGTCAAGTAAGACAGTTTACATTTCGCATATAAGGAGGATGAAGGTTAAGCCCTTGGTATTTGTTTAGGAAAACATTTGTGCTTTTAAGCGATGTTTTATAGGATATGTTTCGAGGTTGAATGATTATTTACGAAACTATAAAAGGAAATTTTGAAACAATCTAATAAGGTTGATTTCAAATGAGACTTTCTTTTCTAGAAAGAACGATGTCCTAAGTAGGAGTATATTTTGTTCTATTGTGTTTATCATACGTGTTTTATTTATTTTTTTTTGTTAATTACTCGGGATTTGGTATGTGGTTTAGCTGGGGACATAAGTGTGTGATCAACCAATTATTGTTTTAATAACATGGAGTCATAACGCTATTTACGTTAAATTTGTGAGCATATGGTCATAGGACTTGGTAGATACACATAAATCTAACCAATCTATTGGACCTGGACATGTGTCATTATGGTGTGTTTTGGGATGGGATAATTAAACCATCACTACGAGTCAAACAATCTAGAACGATTAATTTGATATACTTTACGTTAGGTATGGATTCGTATCATATTACAACGCCATGATATTGGTGATTGTTAATGTTTCGGTATGCGTGAGGTAGTGGTAAATAAAGATCACTAAAACGCCATGATGATATATCAGAGGTGCTGGATTTGCTGAACATCTTCTTGAAAATTTCAGAAGTTGTTACCAAGTCAGAAGGAGGATTTAGTACTGGATTAAGTACTTATTGGAATGACACCGAGTGAGGATAGGAGACTGAATAAATATTCATCAGTAAATTCTTAATCAAGAATTTATTCAAGAGGGTGTGTCATTGGGAGGAATTTGCCGGTGTTGCACATGGAGGAGGAAACTAAGTCTCTTCATTTCCATAAATAATATGGAATTATTTTTTTAGTCACAATTTGCAACAATTAGCTGTTGCAAGGAAATTGATGACTTATGTAGAGGATGGGAAGATTTCATATTCTTTTGAAGTTAGATAAAGAAGTCGGATTGTCATTAACTTGTCTTAAAGAAGCATGGTGTGTCAAAGACAAGATGGTGAGACCAAATACTTATATAAAGATGAGGTGCGTGGTATGTATGGAAAGGTCATAGTTTGTTGACTTTTGTTGAGTTAAAGTCCTAGTTAACTATTGATAAATTGAATTACCGATTGATTTTTAATATCGGCAAGTTTATCACGGATCAGTGGTGGATAGATTTAGTTACAGAATTCGCTTTTGAAGATGATCCAATTTAAACAATGGGTACAGATAAAAGCTGGTGGTACCGGACTAACGGTAATTTCTGTAGACAAATTTGATGGAGGATGCAAGGATTGAGTTTCACAACTCTTAGTTCGTTATTCACCTTAGTAGAAACATGATGCTTCACAGTATGAAGCAGATGTTTGGAGGACAGGCAGGAAGAGGAATATAGTGTTTTTTCTCTAAGTCTAATATTTATTAAATAGTAGAGATGGACCATCAGAGATCACTAGATTCTTGCAGCTATTTTCTATACTGAAGTGGAAATGACAGAGCATTCTCACTTATTGTAGATCCCTTTAGCAAGATCATTTCTCCTTCTTCTTGATTATAATCTTTCCTTTAGGAATCACCAATATACCTTGATGAATGACCTTGGAATCTAGGCTTGTGGTAGCCTCCTTTAGAAGAGAAAACAAAACCCTAAAATCTAGAGAGAGAAAGTGTATTCCTTTTTCTTGTTCTCAAAGTCACCCCTAAAATATCCATGGACCCATGTATATATAGGCAAAATAAAAATAAGAATAAGGAAACAATAAATCATTCTCCATCTTTAAATCAACTTTCTCAATTCTAACAGAATTCCAATATCAACTTGGGCTATTGGTGAGAATCATTTTGGGCTTATTATTTTCTTGGCTCATATAAATTAATAATTGGTCCAGTCCATTAAACCATAGACCCAATTCAATTAATTCATAAATTAATTTCTACTCCACTAAAAGAAATTAATTGCACTCCAATTAAATAGTAAATAACCTCTAAGTCAATGTTGCACTTTGACCCCTCTATGCTTAATTATTTATCGGATAATTAAAGCCATCAATCCGACAACATAATTAATATAATTATTTTGTTACCTTTGATTATTTCCGGCTCGATCACAATAAAATATTTATTTGACAAAAATAATAATTTACTAAATAAATATATATAGAAAACATTTGTCTAAAACATACGAAGGCCTTTGAATTTAATTTGTGATCAACCATAATCAAAACAAAATAAATACAAATAGCACTGATGCAAATATTGAGAATATAGACCTCTAACTATTAATTACATAACTACCCAAAGTGTCAATCTAAGGATCCCGAGGTATCCGCCAAGCAAATCAAAGTAATTATTAATTAATAAAAGAGTCTATACTTCTCTCATGCTTGAGAGTCAAAAGCTATGACTGTGATAGAGAGCAATTGCATACGACAGCTCTCGCAATATATCTCAATCTATCGTGGACTCGGTTCAAGTCTTAACTAATTAAATGTCCATCCATAATTTCTGACTTTGAACCATTTATGATTACTAATTTATAACATAGTATTAATTGCCATTACATATATATATAAATATATCTTGTAATCAAGTGGACACAATTAATTCCATAATGAATTGAAAAATAATACATTTCATTCACCAATTGTATAATACTTTAATAATAATATTCAGATAAGGAACCATGACTTTTACAACCCAAAATTAGAATTTGCTATGCTAGGGCACACATATCCTAACAGTTAAAGAGAAGGTTGGGATGTTGTTAAGGAGAAAGTTGGGATGCATAATGAATATTGGTACAAACTGATATATATACATCAATACGTGTTTATACACTTATGCAAATACATTTGTACAAATAATCCCAATTTTCAGTTACTTAATTTCATGACTAATTTATACACAACATCCCAATATATTCCTACTGAAGAGAATACTTCCTTCTATACCATCTAAAATATAATTCAACTCTTATCTATACGTTTTCGAATTTTTAGGGGCAAACTAATATATTTCAAATTTAAGTTTTAACTTATTAAGCTTATGCAAATACATTTGTACAAATCATCCCGGCCTTTATTTACTTGGTTTCATGACTAAGTTATACACAACGTCCCAATATATTCCTACTGAAGAGAGTACTTGCATCCACACTACAAATTTAATTCAACTCTTGTCTATACGTTTTCTAAATATTAGGGACAAACTAATATATTTCAAATTTAAGTTTTAACTTATACGCTTATGCAAATGCATGTGTACAAATCATCCCGATCTTTAGTTATTTGGTTTCATAACTAAGTTATACACAACGTCCCAATATATTCCTACTAAAGAATACTTACATGCACGCTACTTCAAATTTAATTCAACTTTTATCTATACGTTTTCTAAATTTTAGGACAAACTAATATATTTCAAATTTAAGTTTTAACTTGTAGGCTTATGGAAATACATTTGTACAAATCATTCTGATCTTTAGTTAGTTGGTTTCATGACTAAGTTATACACAACATCCTAATATATTCCTACTTGGAGAAAGTAGCATCCACATTACTTCAAATTTAATTTAAGTCTTATCTATATGTTTTCTAATTTTTAGGGACAAACTAAGATATTTCAAATTTAAATTTTAACTTATAGACTTATGTAAATACATTTGCACTTATCATCTCGACATGTTTAAGTAAATGTTTAATACATATTGCATGTTTGAATGAAACCCCACAATGGTGGGTGATATGTCATAAAATCCCAACATAAAATCCCATATGTCCACAAGTAATATATGTACTATGGTTGACCGTGTTTTTGGAGCAAAAATATATGTGGTGTTTTATTCCATAAAGAAACTCGATTACAAAAAACATTATGGTTTCAACTTCTACATTATCATCGCAGCACTGCTATTTCAATATTTTTCTTTTACACTCAAAGCATACAAGAACTATATTGCTTATAATTGCACTTTGACATGTATGGAAATTGATGTTTATAAGGTTTAACTCAGTTTAAATACAATGTAACAATAAGTTGTGATGTCGATGTCACGCATTATTTGCATTTACAAGATTCGGTACCAAAAGCACACTCCATATAGTGTATAAACATCTCATGGACTTCCATGTTTATCCGTAGATATGTTCCTGCAACAATACTTGGAGGTTTTCCAACGTCACTACCATGCCTTAGATAATATTTTCCAACATTAATACCACGCCCTTGCCAATATATCTATAATTATTGACAATATTAATCACTGACAATGCATCGCATTCAAAGGTAACCTTTTGAAACTAATGGTCCACAACAAAGAGCAAAGCTTGTCAAAGAGCCAAAGCCTCTATTACAAAGATAAAGTTACAAATAACTACAACTACAGACTACTCATTAATTCAAATGCATCAAAATCCCTAGTTTCTTTAAATCATCAAGTAGGTCACAGAAGGTTTTAAACTTTCTTTGATCATGTATCATTAAATCGACTGCTCTCAAGAGTTGTGTTTGGTCTAAGCATTGAACCTTGTAACACCTTCCCGGTAGTCACCTTTTGGGGTTCACCTCCTTGTAAACATCATCATAATTTAGATATCCTCCCATAATGGCCTCTTATACCCTTGCACCAACCCAATAAATTACAAAATATAGATCAATGCAAATCAAAACAAACAACAACTCAACAAATAGCAAGTAGCAAACATTTCTCCTTCGCAACAAGTCAATCAACAACAAACCTCCACATGCAATCAGTTTTCACATGATTAGATTAAAAATCATGAGATATAAAACACTCCAATATCAAATTCACAAAACCATTAAAAATATGAGACTATTACATATTCAAGTCAATATTATGTAGTTTAAATAGGCCATGAAAAATTAAACTGAGGAACAACTACCAAACATTCGTTGGGGTGCAGTGCACAACAAATACTGAAAACATAAACATTTATTTCTATTTTAATTTTTCTAACTGCAACTGTCAATGTTATCACTTGATTTTAATGATAGCAGGAAAAATTCATAATGCTAAAAAACCATGGAACTAATAAATAATCAAAGTTTAGAATTTAGAAAAGATGTTCTTTTTCATTTTTCTTTCAAAAGTAAAAATAAAAGAAAAGAAAAAACATTAGTGAGATTGAATTACAATGAACTACATGTTGAACAGATTCGTTTTGAAAGTTATATCAAACAATCATCATATCCAATGAAACAATTAAAAATGAGTTAGAACTATAGATGCTAAGTTTACTTCTAATTAAATAATTGGCTTAAATATTCATAAAACCAAAAGATAGTTAACAACAAAAAGCTATAGAATATTAAAAATTAGTTTCTTATGTTCAAACTCATATTATCTCCAATTTGTAACACCTCATAAACTTAAACTGCACTTATAGAAAATTTTATAAAGAAAAGGTTATGTAGTTGTGGTATCAGAAGAACAAGGTTGAAAGAGATTACCACTGAAGGCGTATGTATATATCTACGCACAATGTAACCACATCATTACAAAGAACTGTTCTTAGGAACTAATTAACCAAAGTGGATCGTTGTAAGGCAAATTAAATAAATGGATATGGGTTTTCCATACACTTGTTTAGCCAACGAGTCAATAATTTATATTCCTAGAATATAATCATCAGAAAGGTAAAAATAAATTTAGGAAGGCAGCATCATAAACATGACAACAAAGAAAAGTATTTTACATCTTGTATTGAAATGGAATATTACAAAGAAATCTTCACAACTTCATAAATAAAAGTACCTTGATGGTTTTACTATTCCACTATATCTTGATATTTCTCTTCTTAGATGGGACAAGCTTTTATCAATCCAAGATGTTTCTATTATCCATTGGTCAAAACAGAGAAACAAAATCAATAAGTAATCTTGTGCCAACTATAATATATATATATATATATATATATATCTATATATATATACACTTCACATTCAAAATAAACATTAAAAATATACCCATATAAGTCTACTTGATATGCAACGGGTGGTAGAGTCTGCTATTAAACAAGCCTGCTAGATATAAAATTAAAAATATGCCCATATAAGTCTACTTGATATGCAACGGGTGGTAGAGTCTGCTATTAAACAAGCCTGCTAGATATACTGCCCATTCATTCTGCATTGTTGTTTCATACTCTAATAATTATAGGAAAATCATGTCATCCTTAAATTTATATAGAGTGAAGCATCAACCAGTTTATATTAGTTAATCATTTTTTTGAACGATCTGACATAATCACAACTTAATAAAACTAATCATGGCCATACTTGGTAACCTAAGTGATGCTAATGATGATTAACACTTATTATATTCTTCAAAAATAGCAATTACCAATCAACAACCAGCAATGTCAAACATGAAGTATACCATTAATTATTAGAATACTAGTGCTTCAAGACCAAAAAACAAGAATGGCTAATTCTTATGTTTAGATTTTATCATGAAAAAAATTGGGGAGGCTAATTGTCCACTTTCTAAAATAGTTTCAAATTCCTATAATTGGTAAATTATGTAATTCAGCCCTAAAAATTATTTCTAATACTCATCTCTTCCTGAATGATGCAATGAAATATTTCATAGTTCACTTAATTGCCGCTAAAAGACAGAGATATTTCCCAATTCACTTTCTTAAAAACATATACAAAGTAACAAAAAATTCTCATCTAAAGAGTACCTATTTGGAATCTCCTTGAACATCGACAAGGGCTGAATATCGATCCTCCATCATAGGACCCCTTTTTCCTCTTTTTTAATAAAGAGAATACCCATCCCCTTCAACCTACAAAGTGAAGGAACAATTCAAATAGGAACAAAAGGAAACATTTTTTTCTTAAAATAGGAAAAATCTACAACAGATCCAAAATCTAATTTTGCGTATTTGATTTTTTTTTTTTCCTGGCATATATATGATCATACAGAGCAAAATATTAAAAAATATATATTCTATTGCAATCAAATAGAGAGAGAGAGAAGCAATAATCGATGTGATTTTGTGTGATAATCGGATCACGACCAGTCCATTTCCTAGAAACCCAACACCACCATCGCTAGCTGCACGAGAAACCCGGTTGAGTCGAAATATTCCAGCCAAAGAACAGACTAGACACAACAATCTCAACACCATCAACGGGTTAGATAACAAATCGATGCCACATTCGATTTTTCCGGAGAAATAAATTGTGAAAAATAAAATAAATCAAATGAACTGATTAGGGAATTCCAATTTAAAGTAATAACAGATAAATTGAAAAGCTAAGAAACATCAAATATAATATTAACAATTAGAGTATCAGATTTTATGAGATGGGAGGTTAGTATTATACTATTATATACTCGTATGACATTGGAAGAGAGATTTCTAGTATTTAGACAATTTAAAGAAGAAGTGTAAGCATATCCTTATCTTTTACTATTTTTATTGCGAATGACATATTTTTATGGTAAATGACATAAATTGTAAAGTAATATATAATTTATGATTTGATTTATCCAAAAAAAGTGTCAATTGTGCAACAAAATATATTTAAATGCAATCATACACTCACAAAAAATAGTTAATAAAAACAAAATATAGAAAATTTCAAAACAAAGTCTAGGCAATTTTATTAGCTGATGAAGTCCAAAATTTTCTTATGTTATGTTTGGTGGCACGATTTGGTGCTCTCAAATATAATATTAATTTATTTTGATTTCGTCCAAAAATATACGTGAATTTTAGAAAAGAAATGAAAATAAAATGAACAAATTTGGTTCAGTTTTCTGAAAACTCAGTTATAAAGAACTTATTTTTAGACAATTGTCTTTTATAGTTTTTTGAACACAGTTTTACGTTTTCTAAATTCTTGAGAAATTTAGGCCTGATTGGTTTGTAATTCTGGAAATAATTTTATATTTTCAGAGAACTGAAGAAAGAAAACTGTGCAAAAAATTCTACTTCGTCCATTTCAAAGAACTCCTTTACAGTTATCTAAAATTAATTTTCTATTTTTAAAATTTTTGAGAATTATTTTTCGAATTACAAATCAAATATATATACTTTAATTTTAAATTTCATGCCATGTTACCTCACCAACACTTCTTGGTAACTAAATAAGAATAAAAAAAATATTCATACAAGCAATGATTCTCGCGGTGTTATAATGTACTTACGATTCGAGTTTTTTTGTATTGCTCATTTGTCTTTTCCTTTCTTCAAAAAAAAAAATGACTAATTCTAAGAAATATCATAACACATATAACTCAAAAAATTAAAATGTACTGTATTAAATTTATGCTTCGCAACACACAATTGGCATCTAATTTGAACTAATTTTTTTTTTTTTAATTTTAATTTTTAAGACCACGATTCAATGACACGATATAATTGTAATTCAGATTTTGCTATTTATTTATTTAATTTTTATGGACTTATTTTTAGCTGACTTAACTCAAAGAGAGACCTTTCATTTCTTCAATTAACCAATTTTATGATCAACATTGAGGGTATGGTATGAAAAAAGGAAAAGATAAATTTTTTTTGACGTGTATGTAAGTAAAGAAATATGTAGTTTGACTGATTTCATAATTTTAGAAAAATAAAATTTATATAACTAATTTCAAGTAATTAGGAAAAACTTTTTTTTAAAGGTAATTCGGAAAAACTTTGTTGAATTGAGTTGGGGAACATGATGAGCGGTGTCAACATAATTACTCTTTCCTGATCACCTTTCACTTTAGTAAATGTTTGTTTAAAATAAATAAATATATATATATATATATGACTTTCTATGCTTTTGGTGCGCGGTAACAATTTTCAACAAATGTGCCTGAAATTATGTTAAATTTACTTTTAAATGTTGACTTTGGTCCATGTAAATTTTTCATTACTAAAGTAAAAAAAGCTTTTACTATGTTTTCATTTCTTTTTTACTGTATATTCCTATTACTAGCAATGATGTTACAGAGGGGTTAACCATTAGTAATGGTTATATTCGTACACCTTTTTTTACTGTATATTTCTCTTGGAAGTTTCTTTGAACTCCTAAAATTTACAATATAGTTGTTCACTTACTTGACAAATGGGCTCTCAGGTCTAAGTATAGCGATCTTAAGTGAAATGTTTGACCTCTTGAGTCGATCCAAGCTATGAAGGTTGATCTTTAGTTTCTGGTCTGTCTTTTTTTTAGCTTGAACAAAAAAAAAAAAAAAAAAAAAAAAGGATATTCACCTTTTCAAAATATTCATGATGTTTGGTACAAGGGGAAGAATATACTCCGTAATGGAAAAGAATTATACATATATATTTATCTATAAGAATAATTACACTTACTTTTCCTATAGACTTTCTAAATCATAGGACTTGGTTTTAAATATAACACTGATCTCTCATGTCAGCGGGGGTAACAATTTGTCTCGTGGGGACGGATATCCGTCCCATCTTACCCTATTTATATCGATTTTAGGAGACAATTTGATTTATTTGGACAGTGATAGTTTTTATTAATGAAAACACACGCAGATTCGGGGCAGGGTAAAACCATCCCGTTTAGGTAGATAATTTATTAAATTATCTTTATTTTATTAGTATATATAGTTAATTCTAAAAATTTTAGGTCACATTTACTCACTTTCTTTGTTGTTCTAGAAAGCGGCAGAATCATACGAACTAAGAACGCTCATACCTTTTAATTTTATATTATATTATTGATTGTTCATTTTTTATGAATTTTTTCAATAGTTATATAATTGTATTTAAGGAAAAAATTAAAAAAAGAGGAGAAACTCTGGAACTAAACGGGGCGGGTGCCCGCGGGGTGAAAAGTTTAACGGGGGCGCGGATGGAGTGGAAAGCCCCCTGTTTAGGCGGTTTTGGGAGGAGACGGGGTAGGTGTTTCTAAACAGTTACGGGGGCGGGGGAGGGTACACTCGCCCAAAATCGTCCCCGTGTCAGTGTTGACTTTGACCTAAAAATATTAAATGACAATTATATTTATTGTATTTTTTTTTTTAATGTAAAATATATGTTTCTTTATAGACAAAATAGTAAATTTTTTTTAAAAAAAAAATCTAAAAATATTCTAAAATTTTAAGTAAATATTAAGTATAACATCAGTCAACAAGAATGTTACAGGGGATTTATTGTTGTGTTTTCTCTTCTCAATAATACATAAGTTTTTTCTCCCATTTTTTTCTCTTTTGTTTTTCTTCTACCAAACAAGAGGGGAAAGTCTAAAATCCCTCCCCACTCCTCTTCCTATTCTTTCTTATTTTTCTCTAATTTTATTTTCACCATCTTCTTTTTCTGTTATTCTAATATTTCTAGACTTTTTCTCTTCTAAATAAGCCCAAACCACAATATTAAGTTATTTTGTTTTAAAATTTTTTCTTTATCTTCAGGCACAGACTCACAATAGGACCAGTGGGGTGGATGGCCCCATTGGATTTTTTATTTTTGCATCTTATATTTCAATTTTTTTGGAATTTATGAATATGCCCCCACTAGATTTACAATTCGCCCCCACTGGAATTCTTTTTTTGCATTTTATACTTCAATTTTTTGAAAATTTATGAAGATGCCTCCACAAAAATTACAATTCACCCCATTGGAATTCTTTTTATTTTTATTTTTTCCATTTTATACTTCAATTGTTTGAGAATTTATGAAGATATCCCTATTGAAATTACAAAAATAGACACACTATATAAATTTACCTCCACAAATTAAAATTCCGCCCCTCTTCACAAAATTTTCTGAGTTTGTCTTCTCTTTCCTTTTCCAAACTCTCTCTCTTGTATTTCCTTTCTTTCTTCTTCTTACATGTGTTTTAATCTTGACTCTTACTTGTCTCTGGAATTAGAGAATTAACTTTTTATCCCATTGAATACATACCTGTATAATCTAAGCCTATAAGAATTTTCATTATATTATATTACAAATTTTGAACTAAGAAATACACTTTTAAGTAATTGTAATTTGTGGTTATTAAAGTTCATTTTTCTTCTTACTCTTAATTTTTTTTTGCTTTAATTATAGAAATAACAAGCCAGCTAATCTCTAGAAAAAAATTATTTCCATTAGTTTTTCTTTCCAAGTATCTCCAAACTATCATTTAATGGCTATAAATATGTCACGTAATCACTTGTGTAACTGTCCACTATGTTATAGTTAGATGTTATCATTTAAAATAGATTAAAATGGTCATTTACAGAAAAATAGAATTGGCAGGTATGATCATCTCATCTTTATTAGGGATGTCAACAGGGCGGGGTTTCCATTCCCCATCCCCATCTTCGATGAATTTTTCAATCCCATCCCCGCTCCCATTCCCGCTTAAAATTTTGCCACCATCTCCATACCCGCCCCCGCCCCTGACTCCTTATTCTCGTCCTGCCCCTGCCCCCGGCCTCATAATTTTTTTTTTTATTAAAAAAAACACATTTTTTCTTATTTTCATATATATATGTATACTAAATCTAATTCAGTAATAAATTATTATATGTAAGGGTATATTAGTAACTTCATACTTAATCGGGGCGGGGTGAGGCGGAGTTACTCTATCCGCACTCTCGGCTCCGGCCCCGGCGGAGATTCATAATTTGCGCCCATTCTCATTCCTGTTTAGCTAAAATGATCCCCATCTCCGTTATAAAGGGGGCGGGGCGGGGCCTCTACTGGAATGAGGAATTTGCCATCCTTAATCTTTATGATGAAAGAAAAGTTTGCAAGAGCTTAAACAAAGAAAGTGATCATAACTAGCCTAAGTAAGCAGATTTGGAAATGCCATCAAATATGAAGCCCCAACAAGTTTAAATACTCCATATAATGGTTTTTTTTTTTCTTTTCCCAATAATGGTATCGGACCATTATTGTACTACTCATATTTGGATCATTTCATTTTTGTGAATCATTAAGTCATAATGAGTTGAAAACTCAAAAACAGAAAATAAAATAGACAGAAGCACTCACCTTTCCAATTTCAACTCCCCAAGTTTGTAACATTCACCGTGGGGACCAGCTAGATTCCTAATCTATCTATATATGCAAAACTATGAATCCCTTTAGTTATATGACCCTACATGTATTTCTCGTGTGTAAGTGTGTGTTTGTCTGTGTGTGTGTGTGTGTGTGTGTGTGTGTGTGTGAGAGGAGAGAGAATGTACTGTGAATAGGCTTTGAGAAAACAACATAAAGAAATTTGATAGCAACAAGGGGCTCTAGGGCTGGAATGCATTTAGTGTTCAAAGATACCCCTAAAAAAAAAATTCTATTCAAAATAACAAAAAAAAAAAAAAAAAATTTGAAACTATGACTCTGTTTGTTTGGCTGTAATATATTTTT